TAGCCAATTAAAAGAGCATAGATACACACACACACACCTCTTCAATCTGAAACATTTTTATGTGAATGCATATGTTAAGCACAGACATACACTGGCAGCCAAGCAGCCGGCCACGCTACTTTATGGCTCGGGAGAGAAAAAGTATAAATGTGAACAAATAAATAATAAATTAGACAATAAAAAAAGAGGGGTAAGGAGGCGGCGTCAGATGTGAAGTTTGTTTTTTCTGTTAGATGCACAGCCAGGCCTGCGTGCTTGCATTTTTTTCAAGAGCTATTTTGGGCCCGACCAGCACAGGGCTTTCATTTACGAGCAGCCCAAACCTGAGCCCATCCCAGCATGCTTTGGGGCAAGTGGGGTCTTCTTTACGTGCTCTCAGACAGGCTTGCCTGAATCCCATGCTTCATAAAATCAGGCCTACCTCCCACACACACACACACAGACACACACACTCCCTGAAATGGCTTCCACATCTGTAAGGACAGCCAGGCTTTTTTAAGCACTGCTACATGGAGAAAAACGGTCTAACCACAGACTTCCTCTTCAGAGCCAACCGACAGCTCCCCCCCCACCCCACCCCAACTCCGTCGGTGACACTCAGGGGAGCACATGCACTCACACACACTCTCAACTCTATACGCTCTTAAATTCTTAGGTACGTTAAGGCTATGCTAAGACTCAAGATTTGAATTGCTTTTGTGAAGAGCTAAACCCAGTAACCCTAATTTAAATGATGTTATGTCTGTATCAAAATGGAACAGAGACACAGAACTCACTGACGTTTATGGGATCAGACCGCCCTTTGTCCTCACATCTACACAGGAAATGGGATAAAAACCAGCAGCACTGTTACTGCACAACAGCCAATAGAGGCCGCCAAGCAACTCGGTGAAAAGGACGGAGAATACAAGAGCATGCAAGAGTATTACTGAAAGAGAGCGTGTGGAGAGACAGAGAGATTAGAGGAGAGACAGACAGAGAGCTCTCAGACAGCACCCAAACATTTTTACATGGGGGTATCTGAGGACATGCTTTGTTACCAGAAAACCAGACGCCTTGACGACGGTGCACTTATCAGAGCAGACAATTACAAACAAATATTATTGACAAATGACTTTAGACCTTAGAAGTGAGAATTCAGAAAATTACAGCCCTGACACTGACCTATAAACACAGACGCGGTTCTGGTCTGCTTCCTTTGAATAAGCCAATTCTCTCAGCATTCGGCGACACAGAAGCGCTCAAAGCAACGACAGATACTTCAGAAAAAGAAAGGAGGATAATACACATATTATCATGATAAAAAGAGAAAGGCCAGACAGGAAGGGCAATTTATTTACAAGGATGGAAGAGTAAGGCATTGTGCTAGGTTTCTGCTTTGAGCTGAGTGCATGAGCTGAACAGATATGGTAATCTGAGTATATCCAAGTAAAGCAGATTCGAGTTGATTTGAGTAGATCCAAGTTGAGTAGATCTTGAGCACGTCTGAGTTTAATGGCTCTGAGACAAGTTGATCTGAGTTGATCTGAGCAGAACTAAGTTAACTAGATCTGAGATGACTTCAGTAGATCTGAATTCATTTTAGTAGATCTGAGATAATTTGAGCAAATCTGAGTTAAAAGGGTCTAAGTTGAGTTGAGTAGAGTAGGGGCAGAGAAGGACAGGACTCACACACACACACACACACACACACACACACTGACAGTAGGGCATTGTGTCTACACACCTCATAAGTATGAGGCGCTCTGTGTGTGCATGGCTGATCTAACACAAGTACTAATTATACAGCAGTTGCTGATCACAGACTTATTCACACAGCAGCTTGCTGTGTGTGTGTGTGTTATTCAGACATGTCTGTGTGTGAGTCAGAGGCTCACAAGGCCTTTTCTGGATTTTCCCTCTCTGCAGAAAAAAACAATGACAGAAAGAGCAAGACAGGGAGGGAGAGAGAGCAATGAATAAATACACCCTCACGTGTACCTATATATGAACACACACCAATATCTAGCCTGGTACTCCCCTTCTCCACACTCTCAGTCTCCCACTGAATGACTTCATATGTGTGTTAGCCACACGCAATTCAGTCAGACCTCATACACACCAGGACCGTGAAATTTATTTTAAAAATGCATTCAATCTGCAGTTACTTAAAAGATTTAGCATTTGAATATTAATGTTCTTCTGCCACAGACAGAAGCAGTAGCCCTACACTGTGTTTGTATCGCATGTGGAAGGTATAAGGTGTCGTTTCATCAGAAATTTCAATGTTTCTGCAATCTGCAACCTTCAGCACATCTCTACTAAGACATAAGTTACGTGTATGAGAGAGAAAGAGAGAGAGATAAAATACTGCTGTATAAGAGAAAGAAGCAGCTGCTTTCTCAGGACATTCATAGTAACGCATGCACACCCACACCCACCCACACAAACACACACACACACACACAAACACACACACACGCAGCATGAGGAGAGAATGAGTAGGAGGTGTAGACTGATGCTATACTGCTTGATTTGACCGCGCTACTCCACTGAACAGCAAAGCTCTGTAACAAATCTGAACCTGGGACTATCTGTATCCTGGCCGAGTGTGTGTGTGTGTGTGTGTGTGTGTGTCATTCTGAAATAAAACCAGGCATCTCTCATTTGATGTTAATGTGCTATGTCTCTCCAGTAAACTAGGTATAGCAAGTTCATTTTCCCAGCACCCAGAACACAAGCATGACTTTAATCTTTAGTGAACATACTGTATAGAGACGTTTGAATACAAACAGTACCAGATGACGTTTAAAAGAAAGAAAAAAAAAAAAGCCATGCATGTGTGGCTGAATCTGAAATGTCTTTCTATACTATGTGTGAGGGAACTAGGAAGGGCTTTCAGCTCCATGTTATATACTATGTAGAGAGCAAACATAGTGAATAGGAAGTCTTTTGAAATTGTTCTAGGGCGTTTGTCTTAGAAGATAGCGGATTTTGCTTGGATCACGAGAAAGAAATATAAGAAATTTAAACAGCGATAAGGAAACATTACCAAGGTTAAAAAGTAAAAACTAATCTGAAATATTATAGTGGTGTTTAAAATGGGATGTGGCATTTTAAATCTGCCAGAAAAGGGACTTGAGAAGAGTAAGAAACTTTGTCAGACACTAAATACTAGCTTCGTGTGCTGGTAGAAATGTGAATTCAGCCAGAGATGTTAATCCCAACATGTGTTTGAATGTTTTTGATCAATCGATGGTTTGGACTATTTTTAGCTTTACCTGTATGTCTCAGCTCACCTCGCATGGTACCCGGCAACCAAATTCAGCACAGGTACTTCGTGTTCTCTTCGCGTCGCGGTTCACGTGGCATTGGAAATAGCGACAGTGTTTGTCTAATTATGGGTAATTAGCCGAGCTGAGCCATGACACACTGCCCTGGTGGAAAAATTATATTATGGTTTGAAAGCTATGACATACAGCAGTCTTATTTTGTCCCCATCTCTCTCTTTCTTTTACTCCTTCTCTCACTTTTGCTTGTTTTTTTCGGTAACTGACTCAAAGCAAAATACTCTGAAATCAGGTCTGTCATTGTGACTAAAACAAATTCTTTACATATGAGTGGACATACCCAGTTGAAGTATACCCAGCTGAAGTCTCTCTCTCTTCCTCTCTCTCTCTCCCAAACACACCAACACACACACACACCCACACACATACACACACTCACAAAAACAGGTGCGGCCAGGTGCAGGTGCAGAGCACGCCTAGGCAAAGTAGTGTTAAACAGATAGAGCATGCTTCTCTGTGTAATCAGAGAATGGCAGAATCTTAACGTTTGCACTATTGTTAAACACACACACACACACACACACACACACACCCACACACACACACCCATGTACACATATTCAAATGACCCAACAAACATTTGTGTTCAAAAACAAGCACACAAGACTATCATGCATATACACACACACACATCTGTAGAGCCCAATAAGCCTAAATACCCCTGCCCCTGCCACCTGTCACACAAACACACACACACACACAAAACAATACAAAAAACAGAGGGACATTACGCTGGTCCTGCCCTTTCTTGTCCCAAACCTATAATTACACCTCATACCCTCAGGCACAAAACCCTCCAGCCAGCCCCCTCTCTCTCTCTCTCTCTCTCTCACACACACACACACAAAGCAGGTCCACATGTTTGACCACCACAAAAAAAAACTAGGGGACATTGTAAAACGACTCAATGGCCCAACTAAACAGATGTGTTTCTTTCAGAGACATGGAGATGAAATAATTTGCCCTGAGGGAAACCTGCCTGCTAACTACTAAAAACTCCCGGTGCAGTAGGACAAATATTCACTTTTGTCACACAGACAAAAAAATGACTCAGTTTCCCCTACTGAGAAATGTTGAGGTTTACAAAGACTTTCTAATAAGGCAATTAAGACAAGTACATTGCAATCTAAAGGCTTTGGCTGATGACAGCACATAGTGACACCTTAATTACTTTCTAATCCAAGAAATAGCCAAGGTTAAAGAGGAAACTGATCTGCTTGTCAAACCAATTTCTAAACAGGTATCTCAAAAGCAAGGAGAAAAAACAGCTAGCACTGGACAATTGTATGGAAAGCGCTCTTTTTCATAATAAGACACCGCACTGGAAATGCACTGTATTTGTGGCAGAACGAGAGATTCTGTTTGTTAAAATTGCTGTGGACTTAACTACTGGCAGAGAAGAGATGCTTAAATGACTATTTGTATGGACTAATATGTAATTCACTTACATATAAGTCAAACACTGGCAATCAGAGCCAATCATTTGGATTTGTCACACTAACTGTTGTTGTTTTTTTCAGCTGCTCCCGTTAGGGGTCGCCACAGCAGATCATTAGTCCGCATGTTTGATTTGGCACAGGTTTTCACACTGGATGCCCTTCCTGACACAACCCTCCCATTTATCCAGGCTTGGGACTGGCACTGAGAGTACACTCCCAGGGGGTGGGTTGGTTCCCTGCCCGGGGATCGAACCCGGGCTGTGACGGTGAGAGTGCAGGACCCTTAGCCTCTAGACCACGAGGGACCCAGAGGAGTTGTCACACTAACTAATTTGCATAAAATCGAAAAAAATTAGAAAATCTAAATTTGTGTGTATATCATGAGGCGCTGTTGCTTGCTCATGTGAACGTAGCATTAGCGTGACTCCACCATGTGACACACAGCTCGGGCTGACGCACCCTCGGAGACCAGAACAAGGAGTTCACACTAAACTGTCACCAAAACCACTGAAGTGTTGTAAGACTGTTACAACCTGAGCACATTAACCACAATTCATACTAATATTAAAATATAGTTAAAAACAGAACTGAATCTATGAATACTATATATACATTGGGGTCCAAATGTGTGAGAGCACTAGTGAAAATGTTTCTATTTTACATTCTTTTCTAAGTTAATACATTTTTTTCATTACAAATTATATCCTCTGTAACAACGTGAGTAAAAAAATAGAATCTTACAAATATTTACATGAAGTTCAGTTAGTATCCGGTATGCCCCCCTTTTACTTTAATGACAGCAGTGAAATGAAATCTAGATCAAATGTTGAACACTTAACACACTTTATATAAAATATTACATTTTTCACTATTCTAAAGCTTTCTGTTTATTTCCAGTTTTAAATGAGAAAAATCCCTGATTTTCAATGTGGTCTCAGACTTTTGGAACCCAAATCAGTAGCCTGTGTGTTGTGTTAAGCAGAATATGTGTCCGGACTATTGTGTTTTTGTTTGTTTGTTTGTTTGCTTGTTTGTTTTGCAGTTGCCCAGCAGACAAGCTCGTCAGTAGACTGCTTATATAACGGTTCTTTCCATCTACTAATAGGAGAGAAGAAAAAAACACCCCACTGATTTTTCAGCAAAGCATTAGTTTGATTTTATGTGTACCTTTAAATGCTCCAGTTCCTTCATACATTTCAAGGTGGTGAGACACACGACTAGCATGTGCTGCCTGTTAAACTACACGCATTAACCAGGAATGCATTCTGACCATCAGTAGGAACCATTTTTAATAGTTGATTACACATGCTGTACAGATGGATTTACTACATTGTTTTATTAATCAGCAGCATGCAGGGATGAGGAAACAATGGTGAGATGCATCAAAATACAGAACAGTGGCTCCCAACTATTGGCACAACAAAAAAAACTTTCACCCTAATGTCAGATCACAAGTTTGAATCCTGATGATGCCACCTCTGGCCAGGAGCCAAGACAGCAAAAATGGCTGTGGATTTTTGGGTGGGAGTGATTGCATACACTCTCCCCGTCAACCACAGCGACACTAGCCAATCATGGCCGTCTATGAGCTCATGTATGCAGAAGAGGGCAGGTAGTGTTTTCCTCCGAGTGTTTTACAGTGGCTGGGTTGGTTTTCATGTGTCTCAGAGGAAGCATGTGTTTGCTTTCATCCTCTCTGGGTGGTAGTTATCATATGATGGGGAGAGCTCGCTGGTGGGTGGAAACTGGCAGGTGACCAAATTGGGGGGAAAAAAACAGAATAGTGAAGCACAAAACTGTCATGTAGCTTGTAACATAATTTAACTTAAAAGCATGCCATGTTAGTTATCCAAGTGCATTAATACGACTAAGGAAAATGAGTGAATAATTGAATCTGTGACAGGAGAGTAACTATATGTACCCATAGGCCTTATCCTCTCTTGAAAATGGCTCTGATGTAGCATATCATATTTCTACCTTTGACAAAAACACAGCCTGGCTAACATTTCAGCTATGAGCTTTGTGTTCACTCCTCACATCCATGTAAAAGACGTTACTTGAGTCTGGACATTCATGCTTATTGACATGCAGTATTTAACTGCGAGATGACTGCGTGTAGTGCTTTCATTGTTTGTTGTATAGACCAGAAAAACACTCTGGTGAATGCAATATCAGCAGCTTCCTGAACTTAGCTATCGACCAGGCAACTATGAATAAAAACCACAAAGCTCAGACATGTAATCTGCTTGTTCAGGCCGCTGGAGGCGGGGCTCCTGATTTGTCCACCTCTGTAAATGGTGACCTACATTCACTCATTTGCTACAGTATGGAACATCAGATCCTAAAGCAACTTAGCAGAAAAGAAAATCAGCACACAAAGAGGCAGAAATGTGGCTGACCAGCGGCTAAGCCAGGTGACTGCAGTGGTCTGTTTCCTGGAAGCAGGAATGTAAGCCGCACTGAGCTGCCATATTTCTCACCTGCATCCTGACACTAGAAGAATAATCCCAAAAATAATCCCATAGCCCAAACATGCTGCACTATCACCAACACTGTCGGTTTCTCTGGTAGCAGCACTCATGGCACTGTTTTTTACACTGTACATGATTACTCATCCAATAAAATATAATCTGAGTGATGGTCTTGCAGCAGTCACTTTGGATTGCATTTAAATAAAACTGTGTATATAGTGATTTTTGTGTTAAATATTTTCATTATGACTGATGAAACTAGTGTATGAAATTGACACTGGGGTTAGTTGTGCTCCTGAGTATTAGTACTTTTCTCTTTAGTTACAGCTCTCTCTGTACTTCATACAACTATTTCACACTGTTTCTGGTCAGTTAGTGGAAACCTGGCCTTCCAGCATTTGTATCACTGTAATCTATTTTAACAGCTACAACTATGGATTCTACCACAGCTTAACAACAACAACAACAACAACAACAGATCACACATACAGTGGGCTCCAAAAGTCTGAGACCACATTGAAAATCTGGGATTTTCAGAAGGTTTTCGAATTTTGAAATTTTTAAAAGAAAGAAATTAAATATCTTGCATATTTAATATTCAAGATTCTGCACTATTTCTAGGTCCCTAATTAAATGTAAGCAAATTTGTGATATTGACCATGTTAACTGCTTTGTACAAAACGTCAGATCTCTTCTACTGAAGCATGTGTTCAGATGACAATCTGATGGATTTGATCTAAAATAGATCATAAGGTTTTACACAAACTCATGGAGTCCATGTCAGCTCGAGTGCACACTGTCATTAAAGTAATAAGGGGACAAACCAAATACTAGAAACTCTGAAATTCATATAAATATTTCAAAGATTCCACTTTTCACTCAAGTTGTTGTCAGTAATATAATTTGTAGTGAAAATTGTTGTATTAAATTAGAAAAGAATGCAAAATAGAAGCATTTTCATTAATGGTCTCAGATTTTTGGACCCCACTGTAAATAAATGTAGATTTAATTATTACTGACTTAGTTTCTCTCCTTAGTTTCTCTCTCAGCCTTGTGTACTTACCTAATAAGGGACATTGGGCCTAAAATTGATAACATGGCAGATGCTGCATGTAGGGGACCAAGTACTATAACGCTAACTAGTCCCTACCACCAATATCAGAATTTTTAGTTTGGTATCAATTCAAAGATTTGTTAGTCATACTAAGCCAATAAACTGGGTTTCCCCTTTCTGTGATAAGTTCAGGGCACAATTACATTTGCACTGCAGCATGCCAGGCACGGTCAGAGGAAAGGAGACGTTTCAAATGGCAAGAGACATGCAGTAAAGCAAAACACATCAGTCTGCAGCATCATCAAGAAAAGAGCACACATGGCAATTGAGCCAAAAAGAGGGAAAACTCTCTCTCTCCATTTTTCTGGTCCAAGCATAACAGCAGCGCTGTGCTCCTGAACAGACCTCCAAGTTCTGCAGCGAGAGACGATGAAGCGTGCTCTAACAATAACAGAGCAGGAGCTTTATAGTGTGCTGCTCCCTACGACACTCCAATAACAATAATGTGTCTGTATGACTAGCATGAGGGTAGGAAGAACACTAAGGCATAGAGAAATAATACTTTATAAAACCTAAGTAAAATGTACATATACAAAGGCCGACAAAAAGCCTGATTTTAAAAAATGGAATTATTTTACTTTGTTCCCATTAAAAAAATTAAGAAATTATTTCAGGCGTAAATTTTACTTCTTAGAAATCTGTCTGTATGAGTCAAAGCATCATAGTCATGGTTATAATATTAGTAATTACAGAGGCCATGGTATACAATGAGACAGTGGTATACTAATCCATTTCCTCTTATTCATAATAGTAGTAGGCAATTATACTACACATGACATTCATACTACACATGACATGTATCACGATATGAAAATATCATGATGAAAAATGTTAATAAATTACTTTAACATGTTAACATCAAAATCAGCTGATTCCAAACAAAGTTTTTTTTAACTGCTATTAAAAATGTTAGAAAAAGATACCTCAGAAAAGTGTATTGTGACATATCACTATATAAACATGGTATTATCATATTGCTCAGCCCTAATTCATAACCACGTTACGTATTCAAATTTCTTCTTGGGACTAAAGAACTAAGAATTAGCTCCTGCACTAGCAAGGAAGAATTTTCCCTAGACACTGCTTTACTGCTGTTAGTAGTGTCTAGGGTAGGTCAAGAATATACTATTGGCAGTAAATAAAAGCACAAAGTAAATACTGCAGACAGAAAAAAAAAACACTTGGAGAAATATCATTCAGATTTGTTTTTAAAGCCAATTTAAAAAGAGAAAGAGCTAGAGAGAGATGAGACAGATAAGATGTGCCATTGTTCTTGTGCATGTTCAACTGTATTGTGTTACAAAAATCCTATTACCAATTTAAACAACCAAGCAAAGGAAGAGCAGCTCTGTAATTAAGATATTACTAAAAAGTGACCATTGAAGCTTAAGAACGTTTGGACTAAATGGGCAGAGATGAGACTGAGATGGAGCGATGTGGTTTTTTTCTGCATCTCAGTTGGTGCATGGGAGAGGTCATTGATCGGAGTGGTGTGACTGGAAGGCTGACAGACAGGATGGGGAAACTTGAGCAGCACACTATAATTGAAACCCAATGGGAAAAGGCACGAAAACAACAGACCCAATGTCGTTTTCCCTCTCTCTCTCTCTCTCACTCTCTCTCTTTCTATATCTCTATCTATCTTTATTTCTATAGTCCAGTGCTGTCTTAACAATGCAGAAGCAAATCTAAATGTGAACACAAACATAAAACAAAAAAA